TAATGAAACAAGTTATATGAAGTGTTGAATGTGAAACTGATGATGTGCCCTGTAAACTTTCACTCAATCCACAATAAAAACCTTAAATTTAAAAAAAAAAAAAAAGTTAGTGGAAAAACGGAAATGAAAGATAATGGAATTTCCCATGAAGTTTGGGGAGCCCCCTCGTAAAGCTAAATGTAGACATGGCATCCGTTCCGCCACGCTAAATTCGGACAGTCACTCCTTCGGTGCTCCTAACTAGGGGTACCTGGCAGGACAGCTGCTGTTTCAAGCGAAGTTCACCTCTGGACTTGCCACATCCCCCTGCACAGCCAACACCGCCCTGCACAGGGCCAGGGAGGACATGAAGGGCCCGCATGCAGAACCATGGTGTCTCTGCAAGGGGGATGCAGACGTGAGGTGCCCGCATACAGGACCAGGGGCATGTGGACATGAGGTGCCCACATTCAGGATGTGAGGTACCGCCTGCAAGACCAGGGTGTCTGCACAGTATGAGGCAGAAGTGAAGTCCTGCTCTGGGAGAAGTGGACTTGATGTAACGACGCACAGGACGTGGGTGTCTACGCAGGGTGAGGCGGATGTGAGGTCCCCACGTACAGGACGTGAAATGCGCAAGGATCTCAGGATGTGAGGACCAGGGTGAGTCTTGAGGCTCTGAGCTCCCCGCACCCCTTCCCAGGGACATGGGTGGATCTGGTTCTGATGAGGCCATGACTTAGGTGCTTCTCCTATGGGTTATTCCTGAACTATGTGGACAGCCAGCACGGTGTCTCCTCAGCACCCATCTCCACTCAGTCACCGACACTCTGCGTCACTCACAACAGATGACGCTTAGACCCCATCAGGAGCCACCCACGCCAGTCACCATCGGTCTTCAGTCCCTGGGGCTGGGACGGCATTGCCTAGACTACTCAGGGCATACAAGGTAAGCCGCTCACCAGCCCGGCTAAGCAGCCTACCGGCCCCCACATCTCCTACTCAGAGCAGCAGTGAGCAGCTCAAGGTTGCCTACTAAAGGCCCATCTTGTCCATGGCCAGTGACTCTGAGGTCAGTGAGTACATTCTCAGCAAGCTCCTTCATAGGATGGCCAGTGACGCCCACCCTCATCTGAGCCTGGGCCTACTGCTCATTTCTTCCTGGTGTATTTTCCCACTGCCGCAAACAGCATCTCCTTCTGGAACTTTCCACACACACCCAAGAGTCCTCTGTCCTCTCATGGGTTAGCCATCTTCTACCACGCGGATAATTCTATTAAATGCCCAAGGTTCAGATTACAGAAGTTCTGGATGCACAGGATACGGAGTCCCTCCTCCAGCAAATGAAAACACCGTCCTCCCTACTCCTCCAGCACCCCTCCAGAACAAGGTCAATGAAACACACAGAATGTCCTCAGACGGGGGTTTCACTTCCATCTACTTTCAAGGTAGGGATCCATGGTGGGTAGCAAGCAGTTAATGCACTTGACTGCTCACCAAAAGGTTTCAGATCTGAGTCCCCCTGAGGTGTCTCAGAAGACAAGTGTGGTGACCAGCTTCCCATGGAGCACACTTGAACTCTGCACACATGGTCACCAAAAGGCAGAGCTGATGCAAGGGCAAACATTTTAAGAGTTAGGGGTAATGTTCAGGAAAAGCATCATGAATAAGGCTGGAACCCACCGACTGAAAACACCTACACCTGACCCCTGTGAGAGTCCCCTGTGCTTGAGAGTCCCTGGAGGATCCACGGCAGACACTGACACCTGACCTGTGTGAGGGTCACCTGGGAGGGCAGGGGCACTCATTGCCCACTGTTGGATGTGATGACCACTCCTGAGTCTGTCGGAGCAGACCTGCAGTCAGAAGTTGCTGGACACAGTCCACCCCCACTCTGGGTAAACCCTTTACTCGTGTCAGACAAGCAATGCCCTAAGTGTGTAGCTTCCAATGTGCAGGAAGCGTTAGGAATGAAGATTTTAAATGCAGCCTTACCTGTCTTCCCACATTCTCCTGGAAAGCAGCCTAGAAACACAAAGAACAAACAAAAAAAGCAAGGTGACTTAGGTTTGCTTTTTGCTAAACATCAGAAGATAAATTCAAAACAAACACAGTGCAGTACAAATGACCCGTGGCTTTGCTTTTTAAACAGACGCCCTCATTGTTAGCCGGACAGGTCCCAGGGCTGTTTGTCAGCCTGCATCTATGTGCGGGTATGAGAGCAGTGTGCAGCATGGAGGTGGCTCCTGAGCTCCGACACCAGCGAGCTGCATGGAGACAGTTCTAGAGTGCTGTCATGCGGCATGGAGACGGCTCTAGAGCGCTGTCATGCGGCATGGAGACGGCTCTAGAGCGCTGTCATGCGGCATGGAGACGGCTCTAGAGCGCTGTCATGCGGCATGGAGACGGCTCTAGA